TGTTTTTATTTTGATCTTACTTGTCAAAGAGACTCTATTATTGTTCTTACGCCAACTGGTATTGCTGCATCAAATATAGACGGATATACTATCTACTCTGCTTGTGAATTTGGAATTGAAGGAACTTGCAATAATAATAACCTGACAGGTGACACTTTGAACAAATTACAAGACTTTTGGAATAAAATACAATGTGTCATTATAGATAAAGTCTCTATGATTAGACAATATCTACTCGCTCGTTTTCATATATTTTTAAAAGTTGTTAAATCTTCTGACATATCAGCTCCTTTTGCTAGACTAAATATTCTTTTTTCTGATGATTTCATGCAATTACTACTGGTTCTTGATCCCGCATTATATATGCCAAGTAAAGTTTCTAATATTAATTTATCTGAAGAATTTAAAGCTGCTAATGATATAGAGCTAAATTCAAATTTTAAAAAATGTAAACATGCTTTATATAAGCCTTTAATTAATAATCGTTCAGTAATGAATGCTATAGGAAGAAATTTATGGCTTAATGTAAAAAATGTTATACATTTAAAAAAATCAATACATTAAATAAATGATTCTTTTTATGCAAATATTTTGAACAGTTTATGCACTAGAACCTTAAATAAGCATCAACGAGAAGCATTACGGTCAAGAATAATCAATGATAATAGAATAAAAAATAATGAGTGGAAGAATGCTACCTTTCTGGTCACAAGAAATGATTTACGTATTCAATTAAATATTGAATCCACAATAGAATACACTCAAGACAAAAATCAATTCCTTATATATTCTTGCTCTGAAGACATTTATTGTTGAAAACTTTTAACTAGATCCTTATATAAAAAATTTTTATCAGTATCTGATACAAAAGAAAATGCACTCGCTGGAATTTTACCTCTTACCGTTAGAATGACAGTCATTTTAACTGTCAATATTTGCATTTGCGATGGCTTAGCAAATAGTTCTAAAGGAATAATCAAACAAATAAATATTAATAAAGATTCTATTGAATCGTTCTCATTAGAAGAAAAGTTGATTATACTTAAAAGACCTTCTACATATGTCGTTATAGAACCAATCGATCTATAATCAAATAGATATGAAGGATTGCCTCCTAATAATATACCCATACAACTGATAAAATGAGGTTGTATATATACTACTCGAAAACTTGATGGAACTAAAATGCAAAAAAGATTTCAACGATTTCAACTCCCCTTAACTCTGGCTTATGCTTTTACAGATTTTAAATCTCAAGGTCGTACTTTAGGAAAAACAATTA